TGCTTTTGCTGCATTTCATAAATTTTGATATGTTGTATTTTTGTTCATTCATCTTATTTTCTAATTTTCCTTGTGATTTCTTCTTTGTCCCATGGGATGTTTAAGAGTATGTTGTTTAATTTCCACAGATTTGTGAATATTCAGATTTTCTTCTATAATTGATTTTAATTTCATTCTGTTGTGGTCATAAAAGAAACGTGTTTTATTTCAATTTTGAAAAATTTATTGAGACTTCTGAAGTCTAAAATATGGTCTATCTTGAGGAATGTTCCATGTACACTCGATAAAAATGTGTATTTGTTGGGTGGACTGTTCTACATACGTTTGTTATAGCACTAAGTTCATACATTAGTAAAGAGGCTATGTGAAGGAAAAAAGAGAGTGGCACTGCTTAAATATGATAATATTGAAAAATCATCTGACCTTGGGAAAACATAAATGCTATGAATAGATTTGTCTCCACTCAGCTGCAACGCCATCATGGTATGGGATATCTGAATGGATACCATTATGGTCTATCTATGCCCCTATATCTCACCACTCTAGATAAGGGATGGTCAGCTAGGTTTTTGGGAGATTGTTCAACCTGTTTTGAACATTCAGTGCACACTATGAAGTTTGTAGCTGTATACATCCAATTTGATGTCTTCTCCAATTTGGTCCAACTTTTAGAATTGGCATATAATCTTCAAAGTTAAATGTTTACTTTCAAATATTTCCTAGATTTATTGAACTTAAAACTTTCTTCTTTTTATCTATATTTATTGTCTTCATAAAGTTTCAGGAGATAGGAGATCAATGCAATGGTGGTATTCATCCATCTTTAAATGACAATATTTCATTGTGATTTTTTTTTCAGAGTCTACTTTAATGGTTTTGATTTTCTATTTGATTAGGAATTAAGAAGAAATTGGCTTTTATTTTTAAATTACTGGATAATTTTATGTTCTCTTTTTATTTTTTGTATTATGATTGGTGGTCAGAAAATGTAGCAGGTAAAAATTCCTTTACAGACAATTGCAGTTACCTTGGCTTGTTGTGTATGGAACCAGTGTTCCTGTGAAGGGTCAATCAGCACACTTAAGTAAGTTTATCTGAAAGTAGTTTATGACTTGGGGAAAG